GAAGGCGCTTGCTTGAGAATAAGGAAGGTTCGGACCCCGGCGCATCCCGGGGGTTTGGTTAACGCCTCAGGTTTGGGGCTTCTCTGCTTTGGGAGCGGCTGTTGGGATCCTCGCGGCCCCGTAGCCGTTGCTGGGAAGGGCGTGTGTTCGGGAAGGTCTGGACTAGTGCCGTTCCCGGTGGATGTACCCCGGGAGGCGATGAACCTGTTCCTCGGGATGGTCCGGGGCGGGGGGATTGTTCGTTCTGTGCTCTCCCAACCCGAGTTCTCCACGCTCTCTCGCATGCTTGAAGGGACTCAGGTGAAGCTTGGAAGCTCCGGAGGGCCTGAGGGGAGGAAGGCAGAGGCCGCCGAGCTCGGCGGCTCTGCGAGTGCCGGTGCCCGCCCGCCGGGACAGTCGGGTGTCTGGCACCAGGGGATCACTGACCGCCGCGCCTCAGGCAAGGGGTTTGAGCTCAGTGTCCCAAACAGGAGCCCCCACTCGTCCCTTTGGCCACTAAAACTGCCATAGCCGCGGTTCAGGAGCAGACTGAAATTCCGCCAGGTTCTGGTGCCAACAGGAAGCGTCGTGGAAGCGCATGGAAGTTTCTTTGGAGTGTTGGCATTGCCGGGCTCCTGCCCAGGTCAGTGACACCTCAGGTCTCCTGGTTGCCGCGGGGAGAACGGAGTCGCTGCCACATTAAACCGAACCTGGCAGATGGCAGCCAGATGAAATTGCTCTGAGAAGTTCCGTAGATGACGTATCAGCAGACATACAAGGTTTTAAGTTTCGATTTTTTTGCTCCACAAAGCATTTTCATTTGAGCTGCCACTGAGGGCCTCAGAATAAGCTCCTAGGACTTGGGCTGTCTCCTCCTTTGTTTCTTTTGAAACTGTAAACCAGGTTGAATGCAATTCAGTGTTCATCTCAACAGCAGCAAAGAATAGATTTCCTATATCCAGACAACTCTGCCTTTCCTCAGATGTTTCAAGCTCCACTACTGTAAGAGTGTATCCTCAAACTGTACTTCTGAGCTTGATGGGGAAAATGGCACGTGTGTCAAAGGAATTGTCAACTCACATCCAAGCCCAGACTGAAATCAAGGTACAAATCTACCCATGTGTACATAGGCTGGTAAACTAGAGTGGGCCTATGTGTGAAGGTCATCCTCAGTTCCCCTCAGAAATGTTTATTTGTGTCAGTGGGTGAGAAAAACCTGTGCATTTTAATGGGCATCTTTTTCAGGTTAAGGGAAGGTGACCCATCCACCTAAGTCCAAATCAGTGTTTTTGTCTCAGCTGATGTTAGAGATGCCACAATATGCACACAAAGCCATTGGTATCCCTACAAACCAGTCCCTAATGGAAACTGGATTCTGGTGACTCTACAGTGAGAATTTGAGGCGCCTCATGGCACTGTCTCAACTTCACAGGCTTTGCAACCAAGTTGATCTTCTATGCCAGTATTGATCCCAAGTCAACAGTATATTAACTCATGCAAAGTTCAGATAAGTCACAATCATATTTTCACCTCTCACTTTTAGGGGCTTTCAGTATCACAAGAGCAGCATTTCTTTGTTCCTTAACTACAGTAAACCCATGGTTTTGGTTCAAGGAGCTTGACCAAACTTCTATGAAAGAGTACATCACTTTTGTCCATGCAGCAGACTTAGCAAGACCTGTTAGGCTAATGAGTGGATAGCTGTATAAATAGCTGAATATCTTGATATGTGCACTTACATCAATGTTAATAATTAAGGCAGTTCGTATTTCTGACTTTCATATTAGACATGCTTGGGTATCTTAAAAATGCATTGAATTATAATGCAACCCAGCAATATGAAAATAGATACAAAGATAAAACTGGTGGAAGAACTTATAGCCCAACACTTGATTTAAAACTGACAAACTTATAAATGTGCAGCAACCTTTAACAGCTGACAATATGCTACTAAACTCAGGTCAGGCTGAAGTTGTTTCCTGTGCTTTCTGAAGTAGCATATTGAGCTTGTAAGCATGAGCCAAGTTTTTATTAGTGAATTCTTTATAAAATTCAGGTGGAGCAAGATGACAAGAGTACCTATTACATGTAATTGTTGCTTGTTGGAAAGCAGTGTGACTAATGTTTGGAGGTTTGCTGCTGCTATCTCATACCCATTTGTCAGCAGAGGAAATTGCAGGGTGCATGAAATTCAGAAGCCAGCTCTGTTTCAGCTCCCACAGTCTGCTGCTGGATGGGCATTAGAGGGAGGGGTGTTGTCCCTGTCACTTGTTTTGTCACCAATCACACAGATGAATTAAAGTGTTCCACCATACCTATGGTGAGCACACATTCCAAAGCATTAAAACTGAATTTCAGGGTGTCTTCCTTACTACCTGTTTTTACTTTAATTAAACTTCTGGCTGCTGGTGTGCATATCCCAGGCAGATGCTCCTGAATGAAACAGACAAGATGAGAAACACCAAAACTGCTTCAGAAAAAAAGAGTGTCTTTAACAAAAAGGGGGTAAATAGAAGCTGTATAGCTTGTGTAAAATACAGAATCAGAAAATTGTTCTGATGTTAATTGAAAAGAGTGAAATATGTATGAAGTGATACAGTCTTGAGAAACACTGCCAAAACAGTGCCCCAAACCCAGCTGCTGCACAGAAACACAGCAGTGTCTCGTGTCACAAGTGCAGTCCCACAGACAGAGAGCAGTGTGAACTGGAGTCTGTGTGGGGATCAGTGCTTGGGGTGTTGGCAGCACCCCACACACAGAGACCTGAGAGCTCATCTCTTCCAGCAGAAGCCTTGAATCTGACTGTAGAAATTATAGAAATGTCCTTTTGTCTATAGTTTTATGTGCACTTAGGGAAATCCATGAAGACTTTCTAGACCATGGAGACCAAAATGAGGCAAAACCATGACAGCAAAAATGTCAGACACAAAGCAGTCCAGTATCCAACATGCATTAATAATAAGCTTTCCATGTTAATAGCCTGCTTATTGCAAGTGCTTTGCCATTTAAATTAGGTTAATCATGAAATGCTGATATAAATGGTTATTAATCAAAGCATTTCTTTAAACAAATTAGTGTATATGCTCACCTAAACTTAGAATCATTTCAGACATCCTGTATAAAATAAAAAGCTGAATGTAAATGCTGTACACAGGTTGAGTTACTGTGTTTTGGCTTTGTAATCTTAGCTATCTACCAAAGTGATGCTTTGTAGTCTTACTCAAGTCTCCAAAGAGAAAAACTGCTTTCAGAAATGTTATTTAATCTTTTTATAATTCCAACACTTTTCTCTCCATGTGCTTACTTCCTTGGTTTGGCATCTGCTCAGTTCTTAAGTCAAGCATGGAAATAATTGTGCCAAGTGTAAATTGAAAACATTTGATAACACTTAGATGTCCTTATACTGCTTTTTGTCTGCAAAATTAGCTAACTGTAATTTTTAATGTTATTAATTTTTCCTTCAAACTCATTGAAAGTCAGTTAATTCATCTCTGGAAATGGAGGTGAAAACCAGCCTTATGTGCACAGAACTGTACTGACAAAGGTGATCCCTTCGTGTAAGAGTGCGATTTATTTTAGAGAGCTTCAGTGTCCATAGTCA